TAGTAGTAATAGTAGTAGTAGTAGTAGTAGTAGTAGTAGTAGTAGTAGTAGTAGTAGTAGTAGTAGTAGTAGTAATAGTAGTAGTAATAGTAGTTGTAGTAGTAATAGTAGTTGTAGTGGTAATAGTAGTAGTAGTAGTAGTAATAGTAGTAGTGGTAATAGTAGTAGTAGTAGTAGTAATAGTAGTAGTGGTAGTAGTAGTAGGGTAGCAGCAGCGGTAATAGCGGTAATAATAATAACGATAATGATAATAATAATAACAACAACAACAATTAACATCAACAACAACAACAACAGTAACGAAATACGATCAATCGCACTTTGGCGTTCACTTATGTATGCATCGTTGTTACACAAAATAGCGTTACCACTTTGATCTTTTCTTCCCGAGTTATTATTTTTCTATTACGCATTGTTTCGTTGCGTTCTGCGGATCCAGTTCTCATCTCACTCGTGTGTTAACAAAAGTATTGTCCGTGTGGGATTGTATTGCGATATCGTACTGCGTATATCCCTCTACACAACAGATTTCCAGAAAGAGAGTATCATCGTCTCCTTGGCGATTCTTCCGGGAGGGCACTTCTTGTCGAGTTGAAACGGGTATCGACACACACGCGCGAGATAGAGTAGCGGTATCGGTATCACTATCTGTACAATATACATATATACATACATATATATATATCTGTATCTGTATCTCTGGTTACCGATAAGATTGTTTCTCGACCGCCTGCCGAGAGTAGAATTTATCTCGAGATACTAAGTACTCTTGCAATTGTGCTCGATGCAGCTGCCGTTTTGTTTGTTTTTTAATTTTTGTTTTTTTTTAGGTATATTTTTCTAAAGAACAAATATCTTCGTGATCGTAGAGCGTGTAACACCTTTGAAAAATAGTCGTTTACGAATAGGAGCGGTATATATGGGACTTGGTTCGTTTGATATTTTAAGTTTGCTAGCCAATTTCTCGAATTTCTTAACATACTTTCCAGAGTTAGGAATTACAGCCTAAACGTACGAGCGGAAAGAAACTTCGTGTATGCGATTGAAAAAAATGGAATAAAGTAATCTTGCGTGCGACTTTGACGAATAATTTCATCTTGGGAATCCATCGTTCGACAGTATCTTATCCTGATGATATTCGTACTCGTATGCGCAGCCGAGGAGAGAGTGAGAGCATCGCTATCATAGAGTTGGATTCGGATGGCATTTCGTTGTCGTACCACACTGTGAACGGTTTGTTTTGTTTTTTGTTTGTTTTAGCAATGAGAGACCAACCTCTTGCTTCCGTCTCCACCGTCCTGCTTGTTCTTCGTCCCGACGTTCGCGCCTGACGAGGTCCCTTCCTTGCTGTTGGCGCCGGCTTCTGCTCTACCGCTCCCTTTAGACTCTCCCTTCTTGCTGTTCTCTTCGACTTTCTTCTTCTCTCCTCCATCTGCAGAGACAATCAAGGTACCATGGTCACTTTCTGCGAGGCCAGATTTCTTCTCCCTCCCTAACGCTCCTGCTTAGTGGCCTGCATTTCCTGCATCCACAGCATGGAACTGTGTCCGAGCCACTAACAGAGTGCACACTCAATTACGATGAAGACCGCGCGTGATCTCGCAACATCACAAATTCACTCTTCAATGGTACGTTCCACGGTGACCCTACTTTTACCGTTTCTTTTCTCTCGATTTTACGGGACTAAAGGTTACCTTAGCAGCATGTCTTCACGTACACGTACACTTGTTCCGCGTACGCGACCACGAAATCGAAGCCTGACTAGACTCTCTCTTTCGCGAACAAAGTACTGGAAGCTGGAACGTACGGTCGGACGAGGAATCCAATCTGGGAGACAGGAAGCGATAGAAACCGGTCTCACCGGAGGAGAAGGAAGATGCGACGGTGTACGATTAGTTCCCCGATAGGTCTATACGGCTCTATGATGGTGTGACGGCAGAGTGCCGATGCCAGAAAATTTTGTACGAGTACAAGCGACCGCGTCTGCTTTCGGAGTTCCTATTGCGGTTCCTATGGCTCCTATGGTTCGAAAATATCGATTTGTCGGAGTCTCGATGGTGGGACGAACAACGTCGTAGCATTAACTATACACGGGGAAGATTCGTGGCTTGATATACACTTCAGTCTTCTTGTATCCACATAATTTGGAAGCAGAATGATCTCCAACGATGCTCTATGCGGTTAGGTAGAATTAATGTAACTGTATATCAAACTCTAGCGTTAACTAACTTATAGACTAGCGTTTATGGGAAAGATTTTGTATACGTGGTCGTCGACCACGTTGCAAACACGACGACGGATGTGCGCTTCAGTCTGGATGAAACCTCGACGACCGTCGGCCCGTCGCATTTTGTAGATAAATCGTTGCGTGCCGTCCCGCGCCATGTCCATGTGCCGAGAACAGTCGCATCGCATCCTGTACAGGTGTGGTGCTTATTCAGAAGTTCGAAGAACGGGCTTAAGATGAGAGCCATCGTGTGCAACTTTGTAGATGGATTCGGCACGATCGTGGTTCTGGATAGACGAGGCGTATCGCTCGAAGAAAATACAGTCCCTTGATCTTGATGCCGCAGTTTCGAATAACTTACTCGTCATCATAAATAAAAGTATAGCTACGTCTATTTTTTTAATTCTTACTTAACTTCTAGATAAGTTATGTGATTCGGTGCGTTGTAGCACTTACCTTTGTGCCTTTCGTGAGACTCGGTCTGCAATGGAAACATCAAGATATATTACTCAACTTATTCAATTATAGTTCCCATTTAAACGATGTAATTAGAACAGAAATAGCATCACCTCCTCGGCGAGGAGATTTTCTTCGTCTTCCCCAATAGTCAAATTAATAGAATCTTCGTTATCGATGCCATTAGCTTCGACCGTAGAAGCCGAATTTGCCACGACTTCATTTACCGCTGATGCTTCCGATTCGACCTTCACCTGAATCTTGGGTTCTGCTTTGCACTCTACTTCCTTGCTACTGCTATTTTGGACTTCCCCTTGAGATTCCTAATACCATGTTTGTTATATTCCTGCTACAAGTTCATTGAATACTCCATAAAGCGCTTAAAAGTATATCTTTGTTTGTTACCTCCAACTTCGGTGGGGTCAATTCTTTCTCAGTGGAAAGTTTTACTTCTATTTTCACCTTTGCTTCAGAAATGTCTGGCACGTCTGTAACATCTTCTTTTTGAGTTTCTGCGATTTCTGTTGTCTCATCTGGATTCGTCGTACCGGTCACTAAAAATTAAAACAAAAAATGTTGGCACAAACTCTATGATGGCATCATGCTTTCTATTGGATACAAACCACTATTCTTTCTTGGACTGACTTTGCATACGCCGCCACAAGGTACAATGAGATATTCATCCGGATTTTTCCCTTCGTCAGATATGGACTATACATAAGAGTACAATAACAAAGTTATTAAAACAGTTCTAAACAAGTTCTATTAATTGTTCTAGAGAAGATAATTATACAATGAATTACATTTTCATTGATCCTTCACAAATAAATAGCCGTACACGAAAGAAAATTAAAATAACTCGCGTCGAGTTGATAAGGATGAAACAATGCGTTTTCTGAAAGAATGTTAAAAACTGCGATAAACAATCGTCGAAGTACTAATTAAACTTGCCTCGTTTATACTACGAATGCTAACTGTTAGCAACGTACTACCAATTTTCATTGATTTCTCAATAGGGTTAAAATGGCGACAAAACAGTAAAAGGCATACAAACGAATAGCTTGAGAGGAAATCGTAAGAAGTATGAAAGCCTACCTTTGAAAGACGCTCGAGGAGTGCTGCTTTATTGCCGCTTTTATCAAGCCCTCGTCGTTCGAGCTCCGTTTTCAGATCTATTACTCGGAGCTCGGTCAACTTTTTCCCTTCTATATCGGCCATTATTCTTCGGTAAAAAGTGTCCAACACAATGCGAGATTAAGCTGCGAAACTTAACACACCCGCGTATGCAACAATATCGGTACACTGTTGTTCATACGCGTAATGTAGTGGTAAAATTACAGTATCGAGGAAAAGAAATTGGAAAACTCCTCGAAATTTCGAAGGCGAAGACACTACAACACGCTTCGAAATAAACTATCCATCGCCGTCGCCATTGAACGGAAATGACCGGAAGTAATTCCCGCACCAAATGAATAGGCTACCAATCCAAGAATCGCAGAGACGCTACCAAATGCTCCCTTCTACGTCGCACTTAGCAAACCTCCGGTCGACGCTATTTTCTATCCCCATATTCCATCGCACACCCAAATTTGCGCAAGATTTCGTGCCTTCTCATTCGCTCGGTACTATCCCTCTTCATTTGTGAAGCCAATCATAGCAAAGATATACTTCCCTCAATCACCACAGCGTCAAACTGTGCGGCCTAAATTGCACGATGTTGAGAAGGTATTTCGATATTTAAAAATCCCTAGGATCACTTCCGTTACGTTACTGTACAGTGCTATACACAATACATTCATGTATACATTGTATGCCGAAATTATTTATGCGCATAAAAAAAACCATATTATTTACATCTAAATTATGTTTTTCTGTATACACATATTTATTACACGTATTTACATACATGTAATTGAAAATTAATTACGACTGAATTACGACACATCTATTCAACATGTACAAAACGTACGCATGCATGCATACACTAAAATCGCGTAGATTAGAATTTTGAAACAGAAATTTATAATAAAAAAACAGAGTTTTGATGATGAAATTTAATAAGCCAAAATTGGTTCAATCTCTGTTATTTCTCCATGTTCCCTGTTAATTGTACATAATAAAATTTAGGTGTACATTGTGGCTTTTCATCGTACGGTGGAAAGATTTCCACTGTTATAGATGAGAACAACTTGTGTTTATGTACTTGAAAAATTATGAATGAAAGAAAGATACGTACGGTATCAAATTTTTTTTGGTAAATATAAGGTACGTGCAGCAAGATACACAACATTATAATGTACATCGTTGATTATCAATGATAGTAGCGACGTTTATGACAGAATCAAGAAGCTTTTCTCAGCCTCTGTACAGCGCCAATTAGTCAGTGGCAAAATGCTCAAACTGTTAATCAAAATCGTCTATCGGTAATTTTGTTTAACAGTTTCGGCATTTTGCCATTTACCAATTGGCGCTGTACGAACCCTGAATGAAGCTTCTTGATTTGTGCACACATTGCACCAGTAATTTATCGCACCTATGTGATGTGTATGTATCTGATTACTCAAATGCGGTGAATTACACTTTTTTGACAAAATACGTGTGTGTGTTCAAATTGATTAAAATATATTATTATCTTAGAAACTGTGTCATTGCTATGCCTGTAAGTAATTTTTATGAACGTCACTATTATTCAGAGAAAAATAGACATAGTTGTGTTAAGGGCGTTCCCTTAACATTGTGTGCATAACGAACTGTCAAACTTAAAAAGAAACAAATCTTACAAATACATACAATTATTATATTGACGAATTTTTGTTACAGGCATATCATTCCAGTTTCGTAGAAAACAATGGAAACATTGGTAACATGGCGCTTTTGCCGATTCGAACTCATTTTAGGGGTCCTGCACCACCCTTTACAAAAGACTTAGATATAATCGATGAAGCATTGTACTTCTTCAAAGCAAATGTCTTTTTTCGAACATACGAAATCAAGGTAAATGGCGTTACCTATACATTATGTATCGATTACCTCCCAAAGTATATAATTGTGTAATGATTTTGCAGAGCGAAGCAGACAGAGTTTTAATTTATATCACATTGTACATAACTGAATGCTTGAAAAGATTGCAGAAATGCGCAACCCAGGCTCAAGCCGCAAACGAAATGCACTCTCTGGCTAAATCAAAATTCGATGTTCCCGGTGATCCTGGATTTCCTTTGAACTCTGTGTACGCTAAGCCAAGCAATCCTATGGAAGCAGGTAAACTTTGTATTTATATTCGAAATACGCGGTGACTATTGTATGCCAATTTTTGCAGACACTATGAGACAATATTTACAACAAATAAGACAGGAAACCGGTGTAAGACTTGTAGAGAAAGTATACGGAGAGGATGGCAAACCTAGTAAGTGGTGGTTATGCTTTGCCAAAAAGAAGTTCATGGATAAGTCTTTATCAGGTCCTGGTCAATAGATAAATTAAAAAGAAAACAAGTCTGTCATTGAAGGTGATTATAAAATTCATACAGTATATAAATACAGAGATTAAAAGTTTCAATGTCTTATTAATTTTATTGTGTGGTCTTTGTTATATTTGTAATAAACTAATGAGAAAAAAAAACAAAAAGAGAGAGAAACGTTGATGTAAAGGTGATTCGTACGGAAGAGATGTTTATTTCGTACAGGATATAACATAATATCGACATAAAATTCTGTATTATATCAATAAAATGATGTATCTTGTTCGCAGAAGTCTTAACAATGTAAATATCAAATTGTCTATCGCTTTCTGCGTAGCGATAACGAGTTCCGTCTCAACCATGCCGCTTTACGCGAACCACCAATAGTTTGTGAATAACGGTGTCCCTTGCCCAATCCTCGTGAGCTTCTGCCAGCTGAGGTCTTTCCGCGAAGTTCACGGTGTTTGTGAACAGCATCGCATATCCAATTGATCTTTGGATCATTACGAATTTCCTAAAATATAAACAAACACCGCAAATTTAGCGAGGCGTCGTTCGGCGGTCCTTACATTTTCTCAACAAATTTTAAGATTCAGACATCCAAGGAAGATAATAAATCATTAGTTTTCAATTGCATTGATTATAGAATCATCATTTTAAAGGTGTGGACTTCTACAAAACGAATAGAGCTGGAAAAGTTATGATTCGTACCTTGTGTGCAGGATCAACCAGAATCACTTCATAGTACATATACGTAGAATCTTGAGCAACCCAGTAGCTGTTCAACACTCGTAGACCTCCGCAACGTCGGCCTACGCGTTCCTGAAAACGATGGTTGAATTGAGAATCGTTTATTTGAACAGAACAAGCAACCAATTTTGGCGTTGCAATACTTACTTCTGCGACGGACTGTAATTTCCGGGTCGGTTTCAGTTGATTTACACCATGGCTTTTGGGTTTGCCATATGTTGCTCCCTTGGGTACAGGACGTTTACGTCCTCCTCTCCTTACACGAATTCTAAATATGACGAAACCTGTGCGTAAGAAATTAGTATATTCAATTAATTTTTCATGTTAGGGAAGCGTGTCAATGCTCGAAGGAAGAATAAAGCAATATCAGTAGGTATACCATATATCATCATAAAACTGTAAGAGTGGTGCATGGTACGATTCATCATAAGAATATAAAGTATACAAAACAATCGCTTGGAACAATAAAATTGGCAAATTGGAGTTTGACTTAAGAATTAAGAACTCAGAAGAGCAAAGTAAAGATTTTGTTTACACGGAGACAGAAATGAATTTTGTTAAATATCGTTCGTACCTTGCTTGGCTTTGTAGCCTAAACGGCGAGCTTTGTCGGGTCTGGATGGCCTCGGGGCACGATGCATTTTAGTCAACTGACGGTACTGCCAGCATCGAACTCGCAGTAAAAAGCGGAGCATATCGCTCTGCTTTTTACGATAGAGTTCTTGCATATACTTGTATGCGCCCATTGCGAATCCCTGAAAAATAAAATAACAAATTGGTTAGAATGCGTTGTTACACGGTGGAATATACACGTTAAACAAAATAAGCCAAAAGCTTTTCGATATTGTTCGCATAAAAGTAACACGGCGTGCAAACGAATGAAATTCGTATGGTGGTTAAGTTGAACAAAAACAGCGACTGGAATGTTTTTACTCAAATAATATTAACAAATTATAAGAACATTTTATACGGATGGGCCTGGTGAATAATCTTCTCTGCACGAGGCTCAGAAAAAAACGTGGATGCACAGGATATTTAGCGATTTCCAACACGAATCACTCACCCTTCACAACTGGAACAACAGGAAAGAGCTTCGGTTCGACGTGCGGCGAGCGGCATGCACGTATCGAGGCATTGGCCAGACAGCATCATAGATAGGTAACTAGATGGTGACAACCGTCGATCGAGGCGACACCTGCGCGAGTTTCGTATAATGAATCTCCGCGGTCGATAAAGTGGTAACTAGACAGTTTGTTCGGACAAAAGTTCATCCGCGAGTGATCTTTCTGTTGTTTGTACCATATTCTATGTCCGATCGGGTAATCAAATTCAAATGAGAAAATTCGAAACTCGAAGAGACCGCAACTATCGATAAGTCGACGAATAATTGCGATTCTATTCGCAAATTTGAAAACGAAGGGGGTAGCCTGTTCGGTCACGAATCCTTGTAGAAAATAAAAACAACATTTAAGTTGGCGATGGTGAGCGACGCGTAGCCAATTCAGCACTTTGGTAAATAATGCAAATAAATAATGTTGACGGTTGTCTCTAATCGATCGCAGGATTGTTAATCGAACAGCTTGTAAAAATAAATTGGATCGATGAGCCGGACAGATTTGAAAGTTAGATAGCAGGTATGGCAGCGGTAGAAACGGAGTGAGACGGACTGAAACCAGAAGCGAGAAGGGAAAGGTCTCGCGATGTTCTACAGGTATTATCGAGCGACCCGGTGACCTCTTGTCGAGCAATTGATTATTTTAGGAGAGGCAGTTGGAATATGCCGTTTGCAGGAAGACCGAGCACGTAGTCCGCTATGGGGAGTCGTTCGGACAGCATAAAGGATCCGATCTATTATCCTTCGATGCAGGAGATCACTGCAATGACGGAAGCGTCGGGAACGACAACGGGGACGGCGGCGGAAACAACGTCGGCGACGGTGACGGAGGGTAGCGAGAGAAGCAGAGGATCCGCGGGTAGCCAAGATCTCGGCCTCGAGGAAGGCAACTCGCTAAAAGTACCGCGGAAGTTTATTACGAATTGGCGGCAGGCTTGCGACCGCACTCGCGACAGAACCAAGGATCTGTTGAAAAGGTGGCGAACGGTGTCAAGCAACGTGGACGAGACGATAGTTGGCCCACCAGTTCCTAATAAGCAATTGGATCACCCAGGCTGGAGCGTACACGTTTGGAGTAAGCCGTTCCAAATACCAAAGCATCTATGTATAACGCACGCGATAACGCACGCTTATGAAAAAAAAGATATACATGGGGCATGGAACGTAGGCAATAGGCAATAAGGCACACGCTCGCGTTTCCGTCGAGCCCGATATTTCACCTAGATTTCGTCTCGGAACAGCTACCTGGGTAAGCAGATTTCCAAGCGACGAGAACCTAGCAGCGATAGAAGAGTCCGGAGCCGCGAAGGGAGGAAATCTAAAGGACCTGGCGGCTATTCAACGGGACAAATTCAGTCACTTCTTCGCGTACTTGTTGGACCACGACCAGGACGGTTTCGTGAACAGAAAAGACTTTCGTATGCTCTCGGAGGTATTTAAACGATAACAAAAATTGCTGGCGTATATATGCGTGTGTGTGTGTATGTGCCGACGATGATCGACCCGGGTCCGCTGACGTTTACCACTTTTGCGAAGCGACTGAGAAGATTCGCGGATTGGTCGTGGAACGGGCCGGAGTACTTGCGACTAATGGAAGCCGAGCAGGGTTTGGCGGAGCTGATTCTTCAAGAGAAACACTACGACGCGAGCGAGGACGGCAAGAAGATCAGCTTGGACGAGTGGCTGCGTTGGTGGGCCAAAGTCGTCGCCCCGACCGGCGGCACCTCTTACAACGACATCCCGTTTTGGCTGAAAATTCTGCCGAGAATATTTTTCCTCGCCATCAACAGCTCGTCGAGCGGAATCATTTCCAAGACAGAGCTCGGCTCGTTCTACGGATCCGTTGTCGGCCTCGACTCGAACAGAATCGCCAAGAGTCTGGATATCGCGTACAATACCATGACATCGGTAAACGCCTTGGATCATACTTTATTCATTGCCGTTTATTTCTATTTATATTTGTATTTGCATTCGTATGCGGCACGATTAGACGGTCGCGATGCGTGCGACAGATACAATAGGACGCTGTCGTCTGTAGACTGTAGAACAAAGAAACGCTCGAGATAGAGGAGAATGCTTTGTTCCGTTCGCAGAACGGAGATCATCCTCTGGGTTGGCCGCAGTATCAGCTCGTGTTCGCCAATTTTCTGTTCGGTCGAGGTCCATTCGGTCCTGGAGAACATTTCCTCGGTTTGACGGACTCCTGCATAATCCGCGGCAATAACGCGCCGTTCCCAATCGATTACGCCGCGATGAACACGCCGAAGGACAAGCTGGAAGTGTACAGTCCACACTGCAGAAGCGCGCGACGCAGCGTCGTCGTTTGACTCGAGAAACTAACGATACTTAAAAATACATGTGTTGTGCAGGTACGTATCGCGTACGCACGATTATTATTAATTAGACGAAGGCAGTGGTTGCGGTGACAATCACGGTTGCGATTACGGTTACAATTACGCTCACTGTATTGAACTTATGATCTGCACTTAGGAATAAAGGCGTCCTAGCTCCTGTCGTCTTGGACGTTCGAAGCTCGATACGTGGCAGACCTTCGTCCAGCGGCTTAGTACATCCGTGTACGTTCCTCGGCAACGAACATGACAGAAGAGAAGATTTATAATAGATCTCGCTTAAAAAAAAAAAAAAGAAAGAGACGTCCACCGTCACGATGTTGTTTCTTTTTTATTTCCTGTATCGCGTGTACCACCTCGGAAAAACCGATGGCATCGCAACCTCTGTCGGAACGACGACGACCGTTTGTGCTTTGGACTTGTCCCGAACGGTTGCGAACGGTTGCGAACGGTTGCGATGATGGACGACGAATCGACGGAGACTTTATAAATGCACTGTCTGCTGCAGAGTTGCCCGTGCATAGACTCTGAAGTCGGGGATCCTAGAGGGGCAAACCTCTGGAGCCTAGAGGCAAGGCCGTTTTCGCCCACACCGCCAGGACGAAAGATTCGATCTCGCATTCGTTCGTGTCCCTTTGGATACGGAATAGACCCTCTTCGCCCCATTGACGACCCCACGAGTTTGCCACCAGCTGAAACAAAAGTTCACGAGAATATTCGGGCCAAGTTGGGAGAAAACGAGAGAGAAGCAACCAACCATCGGGCACGCAAACTTACCCAGTACTTCAACGGCGGACCATGACTAGATTCTTCTTCTCCCCATCCGATTATCCTTACCGAATGATAAGCGGGCTCGTCCGACTCATCCCGCTCCCCGAACGGGGAGTGTCTGTAGACTCCCGACTCGTACGAGAAGAAATCTTGGTAAACCCTGAACGTGGCTGAAACGATCAAGGATATCTACAGAGTTCTCGTTTGAGATCGCCGCGTTTCTTACCCTGGACGGGTCCGGAAGTCAGGATCTCCTGCATGATGTCGGTCTCGTTGCCCAAACGGTACGCGGGTCCGACTTTGTACAACTCCGTGCGTAACGGATTAGACGGAACCATACAGCCGGCGGTCTTCAGATCGGTCCTCTTTCGGAGTTTGCACTGTTCGCTCGTTCCTGTCCACGGGTAGCACTGTTCCTCGACCAACCTGAAAGAAACGCGCAGCTGTAAACGCTCCGAACAAATACGACGGCGTTCGAATCTATAGATGTTAGATATTATTGGCATAATCACCCAAACTTCCTCATGAACATCCAGGCTCGGTCCAAGTAGCCACCGTCGCAGCCCCGTTGGCCTCTGTTGTTGCAAGAGAGCAAGTGTTGCGCGCTCAGCTCCACGTCCTCCACTCCCATGCTCATTATAGAGAATCTGTCGGAGGCGACGTCCGCGCTCGAAATTGCCCAGGAAGCGCCGCACCATCCTTGATCCGCGACGCCGGATATGTAGAAGGGCCAACGGGATCTGGCATCGAATTCTCGTGGCAGCGATTGCGGATCGTAGATCCGCGGAACGGAGTACATCTTGTAGACCTAGAAAAGGTATACGGATCAACCAGCTTCTTCGGTTTTTTCTTCCGCTATCCCCGATATCTCTGTTTTACTTACCGACTGCGACGGATTCAGAGTACCTAAACGAAGCTGCATGCCTTCCCTGAGCGTCCTCCCCGCGAACTCCGAATAGTTTCTCGCCCTCCAACCGAGAACAGGCGTCTCGTAATTGATCATCTCTATCAGATCACGCTCCTGCAAGCATCGATTCTGCTCGCAGACCACTTCCGCCCGCGAGCCCACCGAGGTGCAATTGCTGAAACGATCGATCGACGTTTAAAGTTTAGCCGAGATGCCTCGGTTGTGGAAAGCGAATGGGGCGACAGTTTACCACGTGTTGCAGTTCCGCTTGAACGATTGCCCATAGTTGTAGTACTTTCCCTCGAAGTAGCATCCTGAAACGCACGCGTCGTTCGATCAATCAAGAAGACCTCGGACGGCGTCGATTTCGCGGATCACTCACTTCTTTTAGGTTCCGGCGGCGACGTCCGCGGCGGCTGCTGCGTCGTCGGATAATTGTCGATTCCTCTGCAGTGGCTCCAATAATCCGGACAACAATCCTCCTCTCCGCGTCGATCGCAGAAATCGTCGCAGTAGCAGGTGGTGGTGAGGATCGGCGCGCTGCACTCGTCCTGCCGTCCGGTGCAGCATCCGAAAGCCGGGTACCTGTCGGCGCAGTAAGGCCCCCTCGGCAGTCCCGAAAAGTCCGGTATACCGTTCACGATCGACAGGACCTGGACGAACAGCAGGCACACCAAACTCCGATGGGTTCGCATCCTTTCTGCAACGAAAACGATGCTGCAAGATACGAACCGCTGTTGCGATATATTCTCGGTCCCGAAACGCTCGCGAGGTTCGCGACGAACAGCTCGAACGGGACCGCGCGTTACTCTTTACTCAGCGTTAGCGTCAAGGTGTGCTCGATAAACGGTGGTGGATTCGGCAACATCTGGCATCCGCGAACGATAACGATGCCAACAACAAGCGGGCAAGAGCAACCGAGATTCTCCTTTGGAACCGCTTCAACGGGACCTTGTCCCGCGCTTTTCTAGTTAAACGCCGCTCGGCTTTGCTTTTTCTTGTGCAACTCCTTCGCGAATCGTACCTGCGACACGTTCGTTTGCGCCGCGCATTAACTCGATTAACTTATCTCGGCAGCCGGCACCGGCAGCGTTCTCCGTAGCCGAGATACATACTTTCGATTACCAGGGGTTACCTGTACACGCACAGCTTCGTCGCCGCTGTACGAAGAAAGAAGGCGTACACCTTCGGTTTCGCCGTGGAATCGCCGTAGGTCGAAACCGAAACATTTTTCGTATCGTCGCGGATCTCGGTATCGCGTACACACGTTCGCAAACAGAAATATTCTTATCGGAGTTTCGCACTTATCGCGTTTAATGCGGTAAACGAGCGCACGGAACGCAAATCGAGGATCGCGAAACGAGCCCGTTTCGACGACGACGACGACCATCGGCATCCGGAAATCCGATCAACGATCGAGAATCTTGCTGAATACCGCACGCGCACCGGACCGTTCGTAAACACCATTATAATATTAATATGAATGAAGTTCGCCAGACCGGAACGTCGCGCGTCTATGATTCTAGACCGGTGATCGATCGAAAAGGGCCCTCCGATTTTCGATCGGCTCCACCGGCGAGACCCGTTTTCTGCTTCCCTACGTTTTCAGGTATCGCCGGCTGGCTGCTCCCGTTCACGCGGACGAGATCGGTGTACGCTCGTCACGTTTTCGCGTTTCGCTTTCGACGGTGTTCAAGTTTCGAAGGCGGCGTACGAGATGAATCCTAAAGAAGGACAGGGACACGCGTTTTCACGTACTCTCGTCGTATCCAGATCGTATGTGGGTTAATTCAACCACAACGATAAAATCGGAATTATTCAACAGGTGCGCGAGGCCGTCGGAGAACCGCTGTGCAAAATTCAATCTTCGAACGATTAGCGGCGAACGTTCTTGAATCGGTAAGTAATAACTATAATTGGATCGCGCGTCACGCGTCCCGCTCGAATCCGAGCGGGAATTTCAGGAATTGTGCATCGGATTACGACGACGCGAGCGCCTGCCTAGGAACACGATAGGTGCTCGATTGTCCGCGTTCTTGGACTCGATATAACGTCATGCGATTACGATACGACGATGCGGAATCGCGGGATCAGGGAGTCACGGAACGAGTCATCGTTGGCCGGCGATATCTTTGGCCGAAGCCGCAGCCGATGACGAGTCGCGAGAGAGTAGATTAAAGAAATAATCGCGAGACCGAATAAACTCGATCACGGTCAAAGAATTTGTCCGTTCACCTACGTCGAAAACGGTTGGGGGACACCGACGGTTCGTCGGTCCGTAATGCGAATGACATAATGCGAGATATCAGAGTTTGCGTCAACGTTTACGGCAGCTGTCTCGTATCCCCGAGGCGGGATCGTTAAGATATCAATTACCATGCTAAATAGATTACTCGGAGGAGGTACCAGATACGAGATACGAGGCGGAGTGCCGTGAACGTCTGGCGACGATCAAGGAAACGATAGGACAAACGTCGTGTCCTTGTTATCCTCGACATCGAATATCTTCGTGTCCGCGGCGCACCTACGTATGTTTATTTATGCTTGCGGCTTCTAAATGGCTATATACCTATCTTTCTAAATATAATTATAGCCGCGTGTACGCGCGATCGGGGACCGTTTTAAAAATGTCTCGATCGGCGAAAAGAGGTTGCAGAAGGAGGTTAGCGGTATCGTGTATTTTTAAGTGGGTGTACTCCGCTTCAGGGTCGTAAACGAGGAATTTCGGCTACCACCGAGAAACGATCGAGGATCGAGGCGACCGCGCCAGAGGCCAAGGCAGCGCGTAAAAATAAGTAACTACGTGATACGCTTATTTTCTCTTCGCCTCTGTAATAAATAAAGGATGTTGACTCGTGAATCGAAATAAATAAATGAATGAAACAAAAGCTTCCAGCGCTCTGGACGGCCCATCGATCGAAGAGCACACCGATCGAGCATCGAGGGATCTGCCGATCGCGAACAACCCTTTCAATCTTTACGTTTGACATGTGTACCTATGTACTTGTATGGCGCGCGATCGTTCGAACAGTTCGCACTAAAAATAACGCAAACGCAAACGCCGTGTCGACGCGTATGTGTTCGCGTCCGCTGCCCCTAATTCGGCATGCGCCCCCCGCGGATCGCGAATCGGATCGCTTTCTTGCCGTATCGATCTTTCTTCTGCGTGTACACGTAAAGTACAATGTTATCAAAATAAGTAAATGTGCAGAGAACGTTATCTTGAGCCGCGGGTACAGAGAAATGCGCACTCGATGATCGTATGAAATTTCAAACCGCGACATATAGTGGCGCCAAACGCGTCAGCGTCGCCTAAAAAGATGAATGTTCTCACGCTCGCGGTTTCATCCGAGCAAAGGATTATTTTATACGAGCACCTAGTGTACCGAGCACGCTATCGATAGCTTTCAGAGTCCGAGAAGAGAGTTTCCGTCGCTGAGGAAAAACGAGTCTGTCGCTTACTCGTGATCGCAGCGTCTGTCAGGTCAGGACCCTCTGGTATCGGAACGACGAGCCAGTTTCCTCGACGAGTATCCGGTGGCGGCTGTAGCGCGTTTCGAACAATCGTAAAAATGCCAAACAATCTGACGCTTGCGCGCAGATCGAAGTAGATCGGAGAAGAAAATTGAAAATCCTCGGCGACTCCTGATCAGCAAGGATCGGTAGAGAGTCGTTGCTGACGACTCAGAAGCGCGAGTCTGACTGATCCGAGAACACACAAGGTAAACGCGAACTAAACGCGGGAGTGTAAGCGCTTGTTTCGAGGTACAACGCGATTCGCTTTCGGTCGGTTCAAACTTCGGCGCGGCAAGACACCGCGCCGCACCGCACCGCGCCACGCCGCGCCGCACCGCGCCGCGTCATCCAGTTCCTTCCCAATCCGCCGCAATACATCAGAATCCATCGAGATATATAATTCGTGCATTGGAGATCGGTTCCTTTCGCCGGTTTCCTCCCGTCGACGAATCGATTCGTCATCCCTTTGATATGTAAAGGTCTCGCGATTACGCTTGTCGGCATGTCGCGTCGGCGCGACAGTCTCTTCTCCTCTTCCTGGTAGCATCCGCGTTCGTCGAATACGATCAATTCGCTTATACGATCAATTATCTAGAGAAAATTGCTTCGGCTAATTGATTCGTTCGTAACGTCTGCGGACTCGTCGGACGCGACGTTGCGACCGGAGAGAAAAAAAAAATCGGGCTCGTCCGGGATTTGAACCCGGGACCTCTCGCACCCTAAGCGAGAATCATACCCCTAGACCAACGAGCCACATTCACTGTAGATCCACCGAGGTGATAGGTCATGTGCTTAGTGTGCTCCGTGCTTTAAAAAACCGTGTCCTAAAAAAGTGTGATTAACCCTGTGGGCCAGATATCCCTGAAGTGTGCTTTTTTAACAGGCACTGCCTGTACATTAAAGGATTACAAGGCGGCGGACAATCGCCGGATATCCTATTATTGTGAGTGAGCTTCAAACACGTGGAACAGAAGTGGGGCTGCCATGCCCAAAGGGAAAAATCGGCACAATGGCAGGCAGCCACAAAAGAAAACTGGACACCATCGCAGCCGAAGCGGACCGCACGATCCAACTTAAGCGGGTGGTAAGAAATTTCGACAAAGAATTTAGTGCGCGGAATTATGACAAAATATTCGAAAGCACCGGGAAGGTCCACAAACCTAACCTGGCTGCCTCGAGGAGAGGAGGACAAGGCTCAAGCCAGAACAATGGCGAGCCCGATAGTGACGGATTTCGCCACCCATCTAAGACAGCGCCACGGGAAAGCCTAGGGGACTCAGAGGGCCCCAGCTTCGTCACCACCAATAAGTACAATCCCCTAGCGGAAGAGGGCGCTGAGTACAACGAAACGGAGGGGCCTCCCGAAAATGTCACCACAACAAAAGGGAAGGGCAGAATGCCACCTATATACATAACAAAGTCAAAAATAAAAACCATAATAGCACTGATCTCAGAAAATAAACTTAGCACAGAGTCATTTATGGTAAGACAACTCGACGATGATACTGTAAGGCTCAACGCCAGTAATGAGTCTGCTCACTTTAAATGCTTAGAAATCCTGAAAGAAAGTGGCCTCCAATTCCACTCCTTCACCCCATCCCACCTTAAAAACAAGTCATTCGTCCTTAAGGGCATTCGAGAAGGCTTCAATGAAGCTGAGGTAATGACCGCACTAGATGATCTCAAAATTAATAACATAACCATAACCAAAATTAACAAACTACAATTTGACCGCACAAATAGCAACAAATACCATTTCATAGTGCAAATAGACAAAAATAGCAATCATCAGGAGCTACTAAAAATCAGAAAACTGCTAAGCCAATCAATAAGATGGGAAAGGCTTAGAAAGCCTAAAATTTTCCAGTGCAAAAACTGCCAAAGAGTAGGTCACGCCAGCTCTAACTGCAACATGGGATACAGATGCGTCAAATGCGCACAAAGTCATGAACCGGGAAAATGCAGCATCGAGAAATCAGGTAGCAAAAACGTGCTAAAATGCGCTAACTGCGGGGAAAATAGGCACCCGGCCTCTTACCTGGGCTGCCCATATATGTCTATGATATTGAACATAAAGAAGCAAGTACACGAAAACAAAAACAGAAAAACTCTCGAAAAAACACAAAAAATTCACAGACAATTTGATCCCAGCATTTCATACGCAAACATCACAAAAAACAATAGAATGCCATACACGCAACATATAGCACAACCCGAAACACACACCAGAAACGAAAGGCTCACCCCCCAAAGAATATCGACCAACAGCAACGAAAGAACACAAGTTCAAGCAACGGACAATAATAACCAGAACAACATAAATATAAACCAAATACTTGAAATATTCAGAAATAGCCTAGACGAGATCAAAGAGCAACTAGCCGATCTCAATAATAAAATCACCCAAAACACACTGAGAATAGATTATTTAGCACAATGGACAATCGAGTAATGGATCACACAACCACCAGCAACCCAATCAAAATATCAGCGATAAACGTAAATTCACTGTGCACAATCAAGAAAAGACTAGACTTACAAAAATATATCGAAGCTTACAAACACGACATCATACTGATTTCAGAAACCAAACTGAAACCACAAAAACACATTAACATTGAAAACCTCAGACTTGATATTAACAAAAACGAATTTAACAAAGAAATGGCGGAAAGTCTACCAGACAGGACCGACAACAACGAACTTTACATTACAGATCCAATTACTAAACTCGAGATAATAGGAAAGTATCTGGAAAGAATAAACTCACCAAGATACACTAACACCAATACAACCACCAAAAGACTGGCAGACGAAATAACAGACAAATACAGCAAAATAGCAAAAAGAATGACAGATACAAAGGCAACATTTACAACATTCACAGACACTAACCCAGCACACAAACCAGTACACCTGGATAACGAAACCAACCATTTCATTTCTTGCAGTGAAGTTAACGAAATTATAAAAAAACTAAATAATAAGACTTCGTCAGGTCTGGACAATATCCCATCAATTGCCATCAAAAATCTACCGACAACCATCATAACAGAGTACACGATACTCTTTAATAACGCAATTAACCACGCCTACTACCCAAACAGATGGAAACAAGCTAAAATTCTACCGATACTAAAAAAAGGTAAAAACCCAGAAGAGCCACAAAACCACAGACCCATTAGTCTCACTGCGAACATCAGTAAAAGTTTTGAAAAAATAATCAAACAAAACCTAATGAAGCACATAACTGCACACAATATTATACCAGATAACCAATTCGGATTTAAGAATAAACTTTCCACCACACACGCAATTCACAAATTAACTTCTGACCTCAACAATTACCTACACAACGGACTGACAGTGGGGACAATATTGCTAGATCTCGAAAAAGCATTTGATTCAGTTTGGCACAACGGTCTAATCCATAAACTAGACAAATACAAATTTCCAGCAGGACTAATCCTACTAATAGCAAACATGATTAAAGGAAAAACGTTCCGCACATGGGACGGAACGAAAATGTCTACCACCACATTCCAAATCTCAGAAGGCCTACAACAAGGAACAGTAACATCACCAACACTCTTCAACATTTATAATAGCGAAATTATAAACGAATTCGGACTCAACACCGCAGACAGACTACACTCGATTGCCTACGCAGACGACTTAATAATCTACAAAGCTGACACGGACGTAGGACAAATCGAAAACTCACTCCAAATAACACTAAACCACATTACTGACTACTATAAAAACTGGAACTTGAAAATTAATCCCACCAAAAGTGAGCTAATATTCTTCCGCAGACCGGTAAAACAAATCAAATACTCAAACGTAGTAAAGATAGAAAAAGCAACAATCACAGCTAAAAACATTCACACTAACGAAACTGTTGAAATCCCCCAAAAAAGCTAGTAAAATATTTAGGAGTACAACTGGATCATCTATTAAGACTAAACAAACACCACATCACGCAACTGGACAAAGCCAGAAGAACCTTCAAAGCCAACTCAAGACTGTTCTACAACAAAAATCTTTCCACCAAAGCCAAACTCATCTGCTACCAATTATTAGTCAGACCCATATTAACGTATGCCGCACCCATTTTCTGGAACACCGGGCCAACAATTTTAGAAAAAATAAGGAGATTTGAAAGATCATGCCTAAGAACATGCCTCGGCCGATATAGAACAGCTGAATCAAATTACACCAAAAGAATCAGCAATATTAAAATATACACAATAGCCGATATTCCAAGAATAGACTGCTTCAACTTAAAGCTCACTCGAAAGTACTTCAGCAGGATTGGCCACACCAAAAATCAAATATTAATAGACATAATGAAAACGGACGAAGAGACGACCCCCAACAAGTTAAGCTCAGGATACATACCCCCAGAGCTGTTCCTCTTCTGTGACCATAAAGGAATAATCCAGGATCAGCATAACTTACCCATAATCTACCATAGGAATAGACACTCCGCCAATAAGAAAATCAACCTAGACGACAACAAATACATACGAGACCAATCCAACTACTCAACAACACTTTCTATCAAGGACAAAATGGACAGGGATAGACTAAACAAAGATTACTCCTGGTTAGCTAACGACGCCAGGAACATTGACGAACTCCGCAGAGAAGGACCCGTAAAAAGTGATAAAATAGACTGAGATCCGAAAAAAACAAAGGTCATTAGTATCTCAGTGATTGTCTTAAAACCTGTACACAATTCTTATATAGCGCTAAATGCTTAACAGCAACATTAGTTTTAAGTCCCTTGTAATTAGATCCTCCGAACCCTAACCCACCCATCCCAACTCCTCACCCCACACCTACTACCTTATTTATTTATTTATTTACTTTTTTAAGTAGCCTAAGTCATATTTAAGATAGATGGTAAAAGTTTTTCTAAGACTCTCCCTTTTCTTTCACCAACAACTATCGATATAAGACTGATAACATATAAATCTCTCGCCCTAAGAACGTGCCTAAATCATATTATATTACTACAGCTAGCTATAGAGTTTCCCCTAGTTGATAACTAATAGCTATAAAAAAATTTTTATTATTAATGTTAATAGTATTTTTAAGTAGGATTATGCTGTGTATATCATGACTGTAATGAGATAAATAAACTTACTTTAAAAAAAAAAAAAACCAACGAGCCTCGTTTTAAGATAGATGGTAAAAGTTTTTCTAAAACTCTTCCTTCTCTTTTACTAACAACTAACGATACAAGACGGATAGCATATAAATCTCTCGCCCTAATAACGTGCCTAAAACATATCATATTACCATAGCTAGCTATAGAGTTTATCCAAGTTGATAACTAATAGCTATCAAAATTTTTATTATTAATGTTAAAAGTATTTTTAAGTAGGATTATTCTCTGTATATTATGACTGAAATGAGAAAAATAAACTTACTTTGAAAAAAAAAAACCAACGAGCCTCGCACGAGAGAACTTTCTAAATGCCGCGACATATCCGCGCGATTCGTCGAAAGGCCTTACAGCTTGTAACGTTCTAACTTGTCGTGCCGATTAGCTTGTTCGCGTTACCGCCGATAAAAAAGTGGACGCGCTCATCAATGAAAAATGGCGCGAATCGCCGACATAATCAGCTCCGGGCAGGTCGCGAAGGTGGCATTTACGCGCGAACCAAACCGGTTTCCTAGGTGAACGCTTTTTTATCTCGCGCGTTTCATTAACATCGCAAAGTACCATCTCGTACCATCGCGACTCCTTAATTGTACGAATTGGATTTTCGAGTCGGGCCGTTCGGATCACCGCATCCGCGAAAGGTCGAATTGTTAGCGTGATCGATACCGAGGCAACGCTTCCTATGGTAACGGAGCGATCAAAGACGTAGACGCTGCTCCGTTGCCATTTCGATGCCTGTTCCGAAGCGTACCGCGACAGCTTGAACATGGGAAATACAGAGAGCAACGTAGCCAGTGGAGTGAAAAAGCAGACGGACGCTTCGTCCATCGTGCTGTACAAGTTGGTCGATTTGAAAGGTAGCCGTGAACAGTTCTGCTCCCGAATAATTGAACAACGCGACATCTTTTCGAACAGGTGGAGGCTTACTGGTGGACATGATGAAACGGGCAACGCAGACGAAACAATACGCCGAACTGGATCACGCTTTGCGCACCAAAGTGGAGCCGTATTTGTACAACAAGGGAAAAGGGAAATGGATCCCGATCGAGAAATTGGTTCTGCTGCGCAACAAAGACAGACCGAAGCATAGAATGGTAACGACGACCGCGCGTATCGAAGCATCAACACGAACGTGTATGACTTATGATGATTGTTGTCGTTTGCAGCTTCCGCCGTTAAGAGCTATGGAGAACCCAGGCGATTACGATATAGACAAAGACATGGGCACGGAGGAAGTAGACGAGACGAAAATAGGTAGAGGAATCTGCGTTGAAAAAAATTCCGAAAAGATGAGACCGAGATCTTTCTTGTCTCCGTTATAATCTTTCTTACGTCGCAGACAAAACCAAGTACAGGTTGGTCTGTTGGAGTTTGGGCGAACGAGGCGCGGTCGGAGAAACGATTCTGCACTTGTGCATGCTGCACGCGACTGCTATTCACATCGATCTGGCGAAACGCTTGCTGCGTTTTTATCCGAAACTCATCAACGACATATACATGTGCGACGAGTATTACGGTAGTTAATCAAAAACTCGAAAGTTTAAACAAGCTCGCTCGATCGGTGTCCCATCGCTGATCGATCGCTTGCCCTGTTCGACAGGCGAAAGCGCGCTGCACATCGCTATAGTGAACGAGGACCCGGCTCTGGTCAAGTTGCTCCTGGACAGCGGCGCAGACGTCCACGAGAGGTGCTTCGGGAACTTCATGTGTCCAGAAGACCAGAAATCTTCGCGATCCGACAGTATGGATCACGAGTGGGTGTGCGTCGCGCCAGAGACGAACTACAGCGGGTAAAGACCTGAAAAATGAACAGACAAGTATTGCCGGTGAACCTAAAATCCTGTAAACTGTAAACGTGTTCGTGCAGGTACGTCTACTGGGGCGAGTACCCTTTGAGTTTCGCGGCCTGTCTGGGCCAGGAAGAATGTTACAGATTGATTTTGGCGAGAGGAGCAAACCCGGACAAACAAGACACGAACGGCAACACCGTTCTGCACATGCTGGTCATCTACGAGAAATTGGTAAGCTTTCGCCACGCATCGATCGATGCGACAACCGATCGAAAAACTTGTTTCGAAGAGCACGTTCGACATGGCGTACGAGATGGGCGCGTCTCTGGGGATCAGAAACGCTCAGCACCTGACGCCGCTGACGCTATCGGCGAAACTGGCTAGAATTGAAATGTTTTTCCACATTCTGAACATCGAGAGAGAAATTTACTGGCAAATCGGGAGCATTACCTGCGCGGCGTATCCTCTCTCGCAAGTGGACACCATCGATGTTACCACGGGGACCATCAGTCACAATTCGGCCCTGAATCTGGTCGTGTTCGGTGTAAGTGTTCGTCGATCTCGATGTTCCATCTCGGGTCCTACCTCGCTTCCTGTCTCGTTTCAGGAAAAGGACGAGCATTTGGAACTAATGGACGGAATTCTAATCGACCTGCTAAACGCAAAATGGAACACCTTCGTCAAATCTCGATTTTATCGTCAATTTTTCCTCTTCTGTTTCTATTTTGTCCTATCCTTGATCAGTTTTACCCTCCGGCCGGGACCTTCTACGGTGTCCGATGACGTCACGACCACCACCTACGCCGAGACTACCGAATTGTTCGCGTCCGATGGATTTCCCGCGTCGCCGACATCGACACCGAGGTCGTCCGTTCCGACCCAGTTTGCGGACGATGCTATCGCGACCGAAACCTCGGCGTATCATCGAGACGCGAATCTTTCCGAGATAGTCGAGAGACTCGTAACTGCCAGTTTCGACGGGACCCTGAGATCTTCTTTGAACGTGACGCCGTTCTTCCTCGAGAAACTGAAGCTCCGTGTTGTTTCCGAAGTAACGTCCACGCTAAGGAACGCGTTGTCGGCCAGCAGAAACGGCGACGATGATTTTCAGGCGTTCGCACCTGTAACGAAAAATGCAACGATCAGAGATCTTGGAGGCAAGACGGAGTCGTTGCTCTACTCCGGCACCGACTCCGGCTCCGATTATGTCACCGGTAGCAATTGGTAAGGTTGCATCGCATTCCTACCTCGGCAATACCATCGAATGTACGAACGCATTTCACGCGAAACAATTAGGTGGAGCAACATTACCCAAGAGTGCAGGCTTATGCAGCTGGCGAGCATATCGGCGAAGTTTCGAATAACCGCCGAACTGTTGATGGAAATCGCGGCGACGCTGTACATTCTCGCCGCGCTGAGGGAAGCCAGGTTCCTCGGTCTCGGCATGTTCGTGGAGAATCTAGTAAGACATGACCGGTTGATAAGCCAAGTAAACCCAAGCGGTTTACGGCAGCGTGACCAATTCATTTCAGATGACCGCACCGTCGCGAGTAATGTTCCTCTTCTCTTGTTGCATACTACTATCTTTCCCATTCCTGAGACTAAGCTGCGCCGACCGAGTCGAAGACATGCTGGCGGTCGTAGTCATGCTGACCACCGCGCCCTATTTTCTGTTCTTCTGCAGAGGCTTCAAGACGGTCGGGCCTTTCGTCGTCATGATCTACCGAATGATCATGGGCGATCTCTTGCGCTTCGTTTCCATTTATTTGGTTTTCGTGATGGGATTTTCCCAAGGTAATCGAGACGACTAGGTTGCTAGAGCGGTGCGCGAAGGTCGGACGCCGACAGTTAATTCGAAAACCGTTTTCGAAATTGGTCAGCCACCTCTCGGCGTTTCACAGCGTGTCTCGTGAACGTCTCGCGAGAGTCGAGCGCCGCGAAATCGCGAGATCGTCTTATGACCTAATCGTTGGTTTCGCAGCATCGGAAGCGAGCGACATTGACACACATTATTACATTATTGCATCGTAGGCCTCGGCGAGGCACAGAGCCAACGTTTCCACGAAATCGACCCTCGTGTTCCATCTCGCGGGACACGGGAATATTTATTTCCGTTTCTATCGCCGCCGGATCTTATTGCCTTCCCGCGATGCTGTTCTTGCTTCTCTTTCGCCTACCCTTTCAGCCTACTACATCATATTTCTGTCGTTCGACAATCCTAATACGCCGGAAGGCGTCGACGACTCGATGAACAACCCGATGCCGTCCCCGATGGAGAGCGTGATGGCGATGTTCTTGATGAGCATGACGAACTTTGGAGACTATTACAGCGCGTTCGAAAGAACGGAGCACGAGATGGAAGCCAAGGTACTATTTCCAGCCGCTACAATTTCCCGTGGAACAACCGTGGAACCGATGACATACGACTTTGTTTTCGTAGTTTCTCTTCGTTCTGTACATGGCGATCGTGGCGATCCTTCTCGTAAACATGTTGATCGCTATGATGGGGAACACGTATCAGAAGATCGCGGAAACTAGGAACGAATGGCAGAGACAAGTATCTCTTCTCACCTTGGCTTTTTCCTCCGTTTCTTCTTCTTCTTCTTCTTTTTCTACTTCTTCTTCTCTTTCCAGCTGGTGTATGCTTTTACGAGTTTACGTTTCGTTTGCGTTTCAGTGGGCGCGCATAGTTTTGGTGGTGGAGCGAGGAGTGAGTCCGGAGGAGAGGCTGAAAAAGTTGATGGATTATTCGCAGCCGATGTCGGACGGTCGCAAAGCTTTGGTGCTTCGTCTGAATCAATCGGTAATACTTCGTATCGATCGCCGTTTATCGATTCAATTGTCTCTCTTCTAGGAAGAGGATAAAGAGGAAATGAAGGAGATCTTAGAGATGAAGAGGACCCACGACAAGCTGTACCAGAAGCGACTAAATAAAACGGCAAACAGGAAGGCTTCGCGACAACCCGAAGACAGCGTTACGATACCGATATCATAAAAATAAATAAATAAAGTAGTATATTAGTATCGGTGTTAGTAGCCGAGAGCCGATATCGTGTTCGGGTAGCCACGGCAACCGACGCCATGCCTCAAACTATTTATCACTGTACTTGCGCTCGCTTTGGAAGAACAAGATTTCTTGTTAATTCGCGAACCAATAAAATGAGTGGTGAACCGGGAGAATTTCGAACCAGCCGGCTCGACTTTATGATCGATTATACAAGCTTAAAGGTGGAACTCGAGGACGCGCTTAGAAGCGACGAATTATACAAGTTACAAAACGACGCGAAACTCAGGGCGGTCGAACAAAATGTGCCCACGTACGACGCTTTCCGTCAAATGGTAATTTTCGCATCTAATTAACAACTAGCTTGTGTCGAATCCAATTGAATCCAATTAGGTAAATGCTGCGCACCTGAGGCCATTGGAGCGGGACGACTGCTCGTTTAAAGCCAAAGGAGGATCGTTTTGGAACCCAGTCGCAACCAACGATCGCTCTAAACCGCAGAACAATCGTAATTCCAATGTTCGAATCCGAAACGAACGACTCGATGCCGAGAATGCCGAAAATAGCGGTCTCCTCACGTGCGAACAGTTTACACGAGCTTGGAAAACGATCGAAGATCGCGAGGCAAAGTTTCGATATCTTGATAGCTTCAAGTAGGTCAAATTGTTTAACCTAAAATGTTTAAATTAAACATTAAACGAGTCAATTGACAGAGATCTTTCGAGGAACTTCTAACTGTGGTACCATGTTTTCAGAGACCTGTTTGCAGAAAAGATCTTTCGCAGGGGTATTCCCTCGCCGTTGTTTACCGATTTTATGGATCTATGCCACGAAATGATTTCGACTACGGACAACGTTGCGAACATCGTAGAGATTCTAAGCGCTCTAAGCAAATGCGATCGATTTTCCTTGACGATCAGTTTCATGGCAAAAAAGGAGAAGGAAACGTGCACGCAATTATTCGATCGATTGATCGACCATGCGAATCAACACGGAGGCAATCTTCTGTTAAATGCGATCGAGTCGTTGAGGTTAATCTATATTCTGTAAAATCAACTAACTGAACAGAGTTTCTTAAATCTTTCGATCGATCGTTGTTCGACCAACGATTCGAAAAGCCAATTAGATGCACAACATCTAGGATGCATAAATAAATATGTACGCATCAAATTCTAATACATTCTGTATACCGTTTGGATGTTTCGTTGATGCACAACACCAGATAAATATGTGCACGTATACTAGGCAAATGTGCAATTCAAATACGCGAGCATGCGTGCTTAGGAGTGCTCCCAGGAGACCACGTGATTCCGCTGTGTTCCAATATGGCCGCGTACACCACCGTTGTATCAGTCGTCGAAGAGTACCGTGATCGTAACCTTTAATATTAATGTTTTGTTCGAAAATCGATCATAGTTCCGGGAAGCCGGAAGTACATACTCTTTTCCTCGGAGCGATATGACCTACAGAAGACGCAACGACGAATCCTCTTGTCACCGCGGTCCGAAAACCGTTTCGTGATACCTACATAATTGCGTCCATACACACGCGTTAACAGCCAGGTTTGCATGTGTGTGCATATATGCCTGGTAAATGTACATATGTGCGAATTTGGTAAACAAACGGAACAATCGTTCCGTAGCATGTCAATTCATCGTGCCCTTCGACATTCTGTCCTTGAGAAAGTAAGAGATAGATGCGTGGAATCTTAACTGTAAGAAACCGGGAGTAATACATAGTACACACACACATCGTCGAAAACAATTCGATAAGGTGACATGCACATGTACGCGTACACGTACGTGTATACATGTACATTCGTACAATAAAAGGAGACTCTTAAATATTTGTACGTACATACTTGCACGCGTACAATACGTCTAAGACGGTGTAACGTTTTGACATTGACTAACGTAACACGTAAAACATTATCGTAATGAGGAGTCCAACAACCATCCATAGTAATTGTAATTTTTATCGTTGATAGATGATTAATACCGCGGCCGTTTAACATTCTGTAACATAGAGATAGAACTCGTGCGTTCCCGTGGTACACATGTACAAAGCTTAAGCCAATTTTTCTCGTGTGACTGGTCAAGAATATGCGGTTAGAGGAGATGCCATTACGTTTGAGCTCGGACGAGCGGGATTTTGAAATGGACGAGGAAACCGACTATCTTCTTCAACCTTCCGAAGACAGCATACGACTCCTGACTTCGAGGAGACGGCGAATCAACGACTGTTCCCTATTCTTGAAGAATTTCTTTTGCGGGTAAGTTTGCAGTTAACGCGAAACGATGATTCGACCGAAGGAATCATACGCGCAACGATTTGCGTCGTTCGACGTATATACATATGTACGTACTATACATTAGTATGACACGTACAAGCATATAAATACGCACGAACATACACAACACACACACACACACACACATGTACGAAGATACGCATACATACATATTCGACGTCCAACGACGAACCGTATGCTACAATGACAGCCAACGTGACAAACGATGTACATAAAATGTAAACCCAACATTGACAAATAGAGTAAACTTATATGAAACGCGGCTCTCTCTCTCTCTGTGTGTAAATAAATTTTCTTCCGTGAAAAGTATTCACGGTGTTTGTGTCTGGGACTTAAAATGTTACGCGATTAAGAAAACGGTGGACGACTCTGAAGAAAATTATAGTCAACATCGCAATTAACTAATATGATTTGTTTCTGGTTAAACGTGCTTCCTAAAGCTTACGTTTACGGATCCGTGAATAGATCTCTGCAAAAAATTTGGAGAAAAATATCGGGGTGAGTGTAGCTCGATTTTACCGCAACTGCAGCTGCAGCAATTGTGCCCGATCGAATTCGTCTTGTAAGCGCGTGCTTCGTGGATAATGTTATGATGTCACAACACAGCCGTGTTCATCATTGTCGATACGTATTTTCGAGCGAATATTTCTCGGTGTAAAAATCGCGCGATACAATTATCTTATATGGTTTGCAACGAAGGGATATTTAAATGGAGACGCAAAGCAATGTTATAAGGCTGTCGAAGGAAGATATCCCGTTGATATCAAAACCGCGAAATGACAATTCGTGGACAAGGTGACGTACATCTTGCATTTACTAAAAAAAATCTTTCGTCTCTTTCCTGACGCCTATTGTTATAGCGTTCGAACCAATTTTAGTCGTTTTTCCGTTGTTTTTCTCGACGATATCGAAATTCGACGCGTGCTACGAGCGTACGCGAAAAGAAATTTAGATTTCGTTGCATCGTCTTTGTAATAGGTTCGACTATTACACTGTTCGTGTAGACGAAAAAATAATACATTATGTATATTGATTATTTGATGTCTGGTTACTCATTTATTTTTTCCAATTACTACAACAGATGCTGTACCTGGATGTGGAGGAGATGTTGCAGAGAACGAGAATTAAGAGCAAGAATTATTCACATTGGGCAACCAATGCATGAAAAGTTTCCCACTAATGTCATACGAAACCAAAAATATAATGTGGTCACATTTTTGCCCTTGGTAAGATTATATAGCATGTATCGATCTATAATATCGAATTAGAATTCTGTAGTAAGGTTTCTTTTCTCATATTTTAGGTTCTTTTTCAACAATTCAAATTTTTCCTGAATCTCTACTTCTTGCTTATGGCAATATCTCAATTTCTACCGGATATCCGGATAGGATACTTGTACACGTATTGGGGACCATTGTGTTTCGTGTTAACTGTTACCATTTGTCGAGAAGCGATAGATGATTTCAGACGCTATAAAAGAGACAAAGAAGTTAACGCGCAAAAATATTACAGACTTGTCAAAGGTTTTGAAATGCCAGAGTTGGTTCCTAGTTCTAAACTGCGAGTAGGCGATTTGGTAAGAAACCCAAACCAGATGAAACTGAATGAACGAATTGTATATATTATACACGAAACCCGATTTCTTTGCTTGTTCCAAGGTAATCGTTGAAAAAGGTCAAAGGGTCCCAGCTGATTTGGTCCTATTGCGCACGACCGAGAAAGCAGGCGCGTGTTTCGTGCGAACCGATCAGTTAGATGGAGAAACAGATTGGAAGTTACGATTAGCTGTACCGGTAACACAAAAATTGGAGAGCAACTCCCAACTGTTTGATATAAAAGCGAGTATATACGTCGAGAAACCGCAAAAGGACATTCACAGCTTTATAGGAACGTTCACAAGAGTGAGCACATTTTTCTGCTATGGTTTGCATACGCCCTGCATACTATAATGCATAATGATTTCATCGAAATGTTCATTACAGTACGATGGATACAGCAGTGAAGAAAGTTTAGGTGTAGACAATACATTATGGGCAAACACAGCTATTGCATCGGGTTCGGCTCTTGGCGTGGTGGTGTACACAGGACAGGAAACCAGATCTCTTATGAACCATTCAGCACCGCGATCCAAAGTTGGCTTGTTAGATAAAGAAATAAATCAGTTAACCAAGGTACCTATTATAATGAAATCTCACGAAATTGTATTCGAAGATGCACAAGTCACAAGTACGTTATATTGAAATTGAAATTTTCTAGGTCTTGTTCTGTGCTGTCATCGGACTTGCGCTAGTAATGATGTCCTTAAAGGGTTTCAATGGACCGTGGTACCGTTATATGTTTCGTTTCGTTTTATTGTTTTCTTACATAATACCGATTAGTTTAAGAGTGAATTTGGATATGGGGAAAGCCTTTTATGCATGGTGTATACAAAGAGACAAAGAGATTAGTGGAACGGTCGTCAGAACGACCACCATACCGGAGGAACTTGGTCGTATTTCATATTTGTTAAGCGACAAAACCGGCACATTGACACAGAACAAAATGGTTTTCAAGAAAATACATCTGGGAATGATCTCTTACGGGCAAGAAACATTCGACGAAGTTACAAACGTGTTGAAAGCATGCTATTCTTCCAATTCGGAAACCTCTCCTATGAAACCATCGGCGACCCCGCACAGCGGTAAAGTGAGGAGATCCGAGAGTACCAGAATATACGACGCGGTACACGCTTTGGCATTGTGTCATAATGTAACGCCGGTTTACGATGAAATAACCAAATCGACAAACTTGGATACAGTCAGCGTGCAAACAGGAGAGACGGAAGATACTGGTTCTATTCAAAGGTAACTTTAAGAGAAAGAAAGAGACTGATGTAACGCGCGACACTCCACATTCATTTTCTTGCTCTTTTAGTCAAACGGAAGCCGATCAACATTACTATTTACCAGAACAAAAACGAAATTATCAAGCTTCCAGTCCGGACGAAGTAGCCTTAGTAAAATGGACGGAGGAAATGGGATTAGCCTTGATCAAGCGAGACTTGAACTTCATGCAACTGAAAGCTCCAAATGGGAAAATTTTAAATTATACAATCTTACAAATATTCCCATTCACGTCGGAAACCAAACGAATGGGTATAATAGTGAAAGAAGAATCTAGCTCTGAAATAATATTTTATTTGAAAGGAGCGGACGTGGTAATGTCCGGAATAGTGCAATATAACGATTGGTTGGAAGAAGAATGCGGTAATATGGCTCGCGAGGGTTTAAGGACACTTGTTGTCGCTAAAAAGAATTTAACTGAGGAACAGTATGTTGATTTCGAAGCAAGGTATACAGTATACATTGTAGATACATACTTAAAGTGGTATACTAGATATTAAGTAGCTAAAACTTCATTTAGGTATTATGCAGCAAGATTGAGCGTCAGTAATCGTGTTTCTCGAATAGCCGCGGCTATCGAAAGTTTAGAAAGGGAAATGGAATTACTGTGCGTAACTGGAGTCGAGGACAGATTGCAAGATAGAGTACGGCCAACGTTAGAACTGTTAAGAAATGCTGGGATCAAAGTGAGCGGACTTCTGTTTAAAATATGAAATATTACTCGTGTTTTCGAAAGTTCAATTGTCATTTCTCATTTCACTAACGATCCGGTAAACTTTAGATATGGATGCTAACAGGAGACAAGTTAGAAACAGCGACTTGTATAGCGAAATCTTCATGTTTGGTTTCACGAACCCAAGGTCTTCACGTTTTCAAATCGGTAGTAACTCGAACGGATGCACATTTGGAATTAAACACATTTCGCAAAAAGCAAGACTGTGCCTTAGTAATCAGCGGCGATTCTCTGGAAGTATGTTTACAATATTACGAGCAAGAATTTTTGGAATTGGCATGCGGTTCGCCCGCCGTAGTCTGCTGTCGATGTTCCCCGACGCAAAAGGCTGATGTGGTTAGTCTTATTCAAAGACATACCGAAAAAAGAACCGCAGCTGTTGGGGACGGCGGAAACGATGTGTCTATGATACAGGCTGCAGACGCTGGTAAATCACTTCTATTACTATTATTCCCATCTACATTTTACTATTCACATTTTATTTGACGAATATAAGTTTGGTTCATAGGTATAGGTCTTGAAGGTCTTGAAGGAAGACAGGCTTCTTTAGCCGCGGATTTCTCTATTTCCCAGTTTAGTCACTTAGCTAATCTGTTACTGGTACACGGACGAAGAAGTTACAAACGCTCCGCTGCTTTAAGCCAATTTGTTATTCATCGAGGCTTAATCATTTCAACTATGCAAGCTGTATTTTCTGCGGTCTTTTATTTATCGTCAGTATCCTTGTATCAGGGATTTTTAATGGTGGGGTAAGTTCGCCTTTTAAACAATTATTCGATACACTTTCGAGGAAACAGCGAGAATATTACAATTGCGATAATCATTTTCTAGGTACGGAACAATATATACGATGTTTCCAGTGTTTTCTTTGGTTTTGGATAAAGACGTGTCTGGAAGAATTGCGCTCACCTATCCAGAGTTATATAAAGAACTTAGTAAAGGACGATCATTGTCCTACAAGACATTTTTCATGTGGATTTTAATAAGCATATATCAAGGTTATTGTACTAAAGATTTCCATTGATTAAAACAGCGATTTCTTCCAGCAGGAGAATTAGGTAATTAATCGAAGTGTGGATTTTCAGGAGGAGTTATAATGTATGGAGCACTTATAATGTTCGAAGATGAATTTATCCACATAGTGGCCATCAGTTTTACAGCGCTCGTTTTAACGGAATTAATTATGGTAGCTTTGACGATCAGAACATGGCATTACATTATGATACTTGCAGAGATTTTCTCCTTGGCGCTTTATCTGTTATCTCTAGTCGTTCTAAAGGACTACTTTGGTACGTACTGTTTCATTTAAGTCACCTTCGCGTATTCGACATTAATGACATCTTCGTAGAAATATATATAATCATTTACTTCTATTTTTACACAGATGCCGAGTTCATCAAGACAACAGACTTCTTGTGGAAAGTATTGTTAATAACTTTAATTTCGTGCATGCCGTTGTACATTTTGAAATTCTTACGAAAAAAATTTTCGCCTCCTAGTTATACGAAATTATCTTAAGTTCTGCGTACAGAAATCGTATTTTCTTAAAGTCACTCATACGGAGAGTTATATACGTGTCTGTTTTTGTATTCGTATCCTCGAAACGAGATAATACAAAAACGAAATTATCAGTTGCGATTTCAGATTTCCTATTTCCGATTCCTGATCCGAGTCCGTTGCTCAGTATCATTCAAGTGAACTTCCAATCTGCAAATATTCTCAGTATTTTTCTAACTACCCTAAGTCTAATCGATTAACAAAGATTCTACAACTTGAATGAGAAAACGTAATTGTGAAAACAACTTTCGAATTTTTTGTATATCGGTACACTACTGAGCGTTTCGACTGGACCAAATCGATGAATCTAATAACATTCACTTTTCTTCGTATTTCTTATTAACGAACTACATTATTCCATTACTTTATTAAAGAACAAATTTATTGTAAAATGTTCTCTATTTATTCAGTTTTCGCTTAAAGTGTATTGAAATTTTTATAACTGTAAATAGAACCTCCGATCTTGATTTCATACCTTTTAGTTGCATACTTCGCTAATCCTCGTTTATAAAAACGATAAAGATTTTATCTTCCTTAAAATGTGTTTGTGCATTTAATTCAGTTTCATACAATATTTCCATCTATTTTCGATCATACCATTTACAGTATTGTTTTATGTTAAGTTTACAGAGTCAAAGCATCAACAAAGCGAGAGAAATG